CAAGAATGCAATATGACATGTGGACATGTTATTCTCTACCATCTACAAACTCATATCAAGATAACAAGCGATCATATTCATGCATGCACTTCACTTAGAAATTTCATCAAACAATTTGCATGCACATACAAACACTAAATTGGCTACACTTCTACATCTCTCTCAAGCTACCAAAATTTGGAGCAAAACTCCCTAAAATCAACTTCAAACCTGGCCAGGAAATCACACTCCACAATTCTACTCCAATTCTTTCATAGATCATCCAAACTTCCACCAATTCATCACATACATAAACACTACTTCTCATGGCTGAATTCTAACCATCGTTCATCATTAATTCCATCAACAATTCTCAACATACAAACACATACATACATATAAGAATCTCTCTACACACTTATTGCTCAAATCATAACTAGGGTTGGATTTACTTACCTTAGATGTGAGCAACACAAACACTTTAGTCTTCCCTTGATACAATTCTCCTTCTCTTAAACCCTAAGCATATAAACCCTAAGAATTCAACACTTTTAAAAATTTAATCTCACATCTTAGTACAAGAATCTTACCTTTGAATGCTTAGGATTGAAAATCTATCAAAAGTGAACCAAATTCTATGGATTTCCTTGGAAAGTAATTAGAGAAAATTTGAGAGCTTTTGGCGATGAAGGTGGCATGAAAGGAGGTAGAAGTGGCTAGGGTTTCAACTCTTGAACTCTTATCAACACATAGTATTATTTATACTTTCCCATTTTACCCTTGCACTTTCTAAGAAATTCCACCTTTGTCCTTTAGTCAATTACAATAATGTCCTCATTTCCATTGCATTCTCCATGTAATTATACTTCTTTTCACTCCCCACATTTTCAACTAATTATGGGTGGAATGACCATTTTGCCCTCAAGCAAGTTTTCCAGAATTTTCTCAAAAATTTCGGAGAGTTCTTTGCCTCGGCGAAGTCTGAAATTTCTGACACGAATTTGGGAAGTGAATTCATTGCCACAACGAGAAAATTCCTTTGCCGCGGCGAAAAGTGAAAATGTCAATTTTCTTTCTTTTACCTTGGAATAAGTAATAATAAAGGCATTAAGACATAAGTAGAGTTACTTACCTCGATGTGGGTGTTACAGAGGACGTTTTTAAGAAATTAAAATTTAAATATAGTAAGAAATCACAGTATAAAATTTGAATTAAAGAAATGAAAACTAAAAATTTTATATTAAAAAAGATATTTTATCCACCGAAAAATTCTTTCAATTGTTTGTCCAAACAACAGTTAGGATGTCAGTTATTAGTTATGCATAGAGTAAAAGCCAATTAAAAAAAAAAAAAAAGAGAGAGAGAGACGACATTGAATTATAATTATGGATTAATATGTTAAAATTCATTAATTATATTTTATACCAAATTAAAAGTATTAAAATTAAAAATTTAAAGATTGATACTATTTTTATATCAAAGATAAACCCTTATAATATTTAAAATACATGCAAAGATGACAACAAAATTGATATGCTAATGAAAAAAAAAAAAAAAAAAACTTTAATCACACTCTCTCACTTATATGGGTGTTCTAATAATTTTTACTAAATCCAATCCGACCCAAGTATATATAGGATTTTAGGTTTTTAAATCCCATCTAATACAATTTTGAATTAAAATCTGATCCAATCTAATATATAGAAAATTAAAATCCGATCAAATGCAATCTAATTTGAACAAAATTAAAATTCAATCCAATCTAATGAAATTTAAGAAAAACGAATCTAATTGAATAAAAAAATTGATTTCATCTAAATCCAATTTGATTATATATCTTATTAAACTTTTTGTCAAAGTTTATTTATTTTACAATTAAATAATTTAAACATTAGAGAACTATTATATTATTTAAACATAGGAAAATGATCATATTTAAAAATTTTAAAATAAATAATTCCGTTAGAAAGAGACATAAGTTGGTTGTCTATTACAAAAATAAAATAACAAATGAAAATAATCTCAATAAAATAAAAATATCAGGCATTAAAACTGAAATTTATTGTCACATAATAAATATTAATAAAATAGACTGAAATTTATAAATTGAATGGTCTAACTGGTTAGATTGGATTTACTTTTTAACAAATTTAATAATGGATCAAATATAATTGGATTGTCAAAATTGGATCCAATTCAATCCACCACCGAAACAATCCAATTAAACCGCCGAAAGAGATCAAAATTGCTCACTGACATCACGTGCAAAGCCTTCTCTTGGATTCCGTTAGAATATCCTTCACTAGTAATTTAATATTCCTGTGAGAAGATCCTCCTCCAGTCCTCCTTCAAATGCCTTCTTCGCCATCCTCCCAACTTCTCTGGCTTTCTTCCTCTTCTCTTTGCCTTCTTCTTCATCCATTACCATCTCTATAGCTTTCCTTATTTCCTCTCTCTTCAACATCACTCCATACTTTTCTTCCTCTCCCTGATTTATAGCAATGCTAGCCCCTACCTTCTCACCAATTTTTATTAGCCGCAAAACAAACTGCTCATTGAAAAACTGCTCCGCCAACAATGGCCATGTTATCATTGGCAAACCAGCTGAAACTCCTTCTAGTATAGAATTCCACCCACAGTGTGTCAAAAATCCTCCAATGGCCGGATGGGACAAAATCAATACTTGCGGACTTGCGGTGCCCACCCCCGAATAATTAGTCCTATATCTTTTGTTCTTCTCTCCAATCCTTCTTCATAAAACAGTTTCTCAAGTTCATTTGAATTGACACCGTCTCTTATAACCCACATAAACGGCCGCTTCGATGCTTCTAAGGCTAGTCCCAGTTCGATTAGCTGCAGAGGTGACATGCAACCAAGGGTTCCAAGACAGGCATAAACTACAGACTTTGATGGCCATGAATTGAGCCATTTCAAGCATTGTTCCTCATCAATTGAGGTCTTGTTACCTCTTTGCCCCTTATCTATGTTCTCTTTGTTGCATAGTGATACCGGCCCAATGCACCAAATTTTGTCTCCTTGTAACTTCCTACATTCTTCAACATATGTATCTTCCAATTCTTGAAAAGAATTAAATACCAACCCATATGATGTCTCATCTGCTGCTTTTATTTCTTCATGCCTGTCTCTGAAGGTCGTTGAGCTTTGATTTATAGTACTTGGTAGCTGAGCTTTAGTTAGTTCAATCCTATCCGGCAAACCAGGCACTACAAAATACTCTGAATCACACCTTCTCATGAATCCTTGACAACATAACTTTATGTGAACATATAAAAGCAAAGCAGCTTGTCCCATCAAAAGCAAGCCTAGTGTAACAAATCCCACATTGAAAGCGTATTGGGGAGGTCTTGGGCTTATAAATGGGGGGAGTCCCTCCACCTAATAGGTTAGCCTTTTGGGTGTGAAACTCCCAGCCCGTGACACTAGGAATTCCAAATTTACGAGAAACATTAATCGTCCAAGGAAGATATCTATCAGAAACAATGCAACTTGGGCCCGGGCTTGTCTCTTCCAAGAACTTCTCTATTGGCTGCTGCAACATCCTAGCTGCATCAGAGAAATTCTTGGACAAGTTTCGCGAGGGGAGAGAATCCACATTCTCGCAACCCTCTGGCAAGGCAGCCTCAGCACAAGGAAACCTGAGTTTCAGAAGTCGAATCGGGAGACCAGATTGAATGTCACGATTGATTATTTTTTCAAATCGAATGGCGTTGAGAGGTGTGGTGATTAAGGTGACAATGACACCGTGTTGTGCTAGAAGCCTGGCCAAGTCTACCATGGGGATAAGGTGGCCTGGGCACATGAAGGGAATCAGGACAAAATGAAGGTGGTGGTGATCGGCCAGGGATGCCATTGTGATGAACTGCGGCGCAATTTAGTTCGACAATGAAATATAGATATGGTACAATAGGGTTCCACAATTAAGCAATATATATATATATATATATATATATATATATATATATAACACTTAATTTGGTAGGTGAACCAAATAAGAATGAAATAATTAGTTTTTTTCCTTATAGGAATAAGAGAATCATATTCTTTCTGTATTGCTTGTTGTTATGCTAAAAATCAGAACTCAATCTATCAAAACAACATCAAACACATTCCCAAGAATCTAAATCACACACCAAAGAAGCAAGAACACACAATCAAGAACACCAAAGATTTTACCGTGGTTCACTTATTCCAAAATTGGGAATAAGCTACATCCACGTTGAGCTCCAAGAACTTTTGGGGCTCACTGCACTAAGAGATTAGAAGTTTACAAATTACAAGAACAAATCAACTCCAAATCTTTATACACTCAATCAATCCCCAGATTCTAACTATACCCTTTATTCACAAGAGAAATCACAACCTAGATTCTCTACCCTTGAAGGAAGCTCGACCTTCAACTCAAGATTACAGAAATCTAAAACTGATTACAAGAAAATTAGACTCAATTAGAAACCCTTGTAGAATACTATTTTTTATCGTCGAGAGAGAGCTGGAGAAAGGATGCAAATCTGGATTTTTTGATGTCTATAATAGCTTTGACTTTCTTGGACAAATTGCAGCCGTTAGATTTCTTTAACAAGCAAAGGCCAAGATTAAAACTTCTAATTCCTCAAACGCCACCGTTTTGAGCTTCATTTAACAATCTCCACCTTGAAGCTCAAAACTCACCAACTTCAAAAACCTCATTACTGTAGCTAACCCATCCAATTTCTCTTCATAGCTCAATTGCTGCTCTAATTTACAAACAACATGTTCAAGCAATGCTTGAACTTGGTAGGTGTCACCACCTTTGTCCCTATATCTGCTGAATTATCCTCTGTTGCTATCTTCTTCAGATTTATCACTCCTTGCGCCACTAAATCCTTGACAAAATGAAACCTCATGTCCATGTGCTTGGTCCTCTCATGGTAGACTGGATTTTTACTTAGATGTATTGCAGTCTGACTATCACAAAATACAATCACTGCCCCATCTATCAATTTTACCTTCGTTAGAAGTCCTTACAGCCACAATGCTTCCTTGAATACTTCTGCCAATGCCACATATTCAGCTTCCGTCGAAGACAATGCCACAATAGGTTGGAGTTGGGAATTCCAACTCACACAATTTCCAGCCAAAGTGAAGAAATAGGAAGTAGTTGACTTCCTTGAATCCTTGTCACCTGCAAAATCAAAGTCTACAAAACCCACAAGATCAAGTGACTCACATCTTTTGGAGTATTCTAAACCAACATGAGTTGTGCAATTTATATATTTCAGCAACCATTTTAGGGTAGATCAATGTTCTAACCCTGGGTTAGACATGAACCTACTGAGTAGTGAGATGGCAAAAGCAAGGTCAGGTCTTGTGCTTATCATAGCATACATGACTGATCCTATTACATTAGCATAGGGAACATTTTCCATTTTTAACAAATTAGAATCAGATTTAGGACATTGAGACTTACTCAGCATAAAATGACTAGCTAAAGGCATATTTGCACCCTTAGACTCAGCCATACCAAATTTAGAAACCAGTTTTTGCAAATAAACACTTTGATGTATTTTCAGCTCATTACACTTTCTGTTTCTGGTTATAACCATCCCTAAAATCCTTTTAGCACACCCTAAGTCCTTCATATCAAACTTAGAATTGAGTTTTTTCTTTAATTCATCTATTTTAGACTTAGACTTGCTAATTAGAAGTATATCATCCACATACAAAAGAAGATACTAAGGCATGTTATCATTCAAGGCATAATAGAAACAATTATCATATTGACTCCTATAAAAACCAATACTCATGGTAAAAGCATCAAATCTTTTGTAACATTGCCTAGGGGATTGTTTTAAACCACATAAGGACTTGTGTAGCAAACATACATGATTTGGAAGTCTTTTATCTACAAAACCAACAGGCTACCTCATGTAGACTTTTTCTTCTAAATTTCCATGTAAAAACGCAGTTTTAACATCAAGTTGTTCTACTTCTAAATCATGGCATGTAACAATAGACAACATAAGTCTTACGGTCTTATATTTCACAACGGAAGAAAATATTTCATTAAAATCTATTCCTTCCCTTTGTTTGTAGCCTTTGGCTACCAATCTTGCCTTATATCTAGGAGGATCAGAGAGAGATATACCTTCTTTTACCTTGAATAACCATCGACACTCAATTAGTTTATGGTCTTTGGGATTTGGAACCAATGACCAGGTTCCATTTACCTTTAGGGAGTGCATTTCCTCCTTCATTACAGTCTGCCATTTTCTTCTATCCTTGGATCTGATTGCCTCTTCATAGGTGACAGGTTTTGCCCTTTGCAATTCAACCGCAACCACCAAGGCTGTGTATATGAGCTCAACATAAGAGAGCCTCGCTGGTGGCCTGATCTCTCTTTTAGTTCTATCTCAGGCCAGTTGGTATTGGGCTAGTGAATCATGTTGAGAAACCTCAGGATTTTCAACATGTTCCTCTTCATAGTCAGGATTTAGATTTGGTGTGACGATTTCAGTTCCTGGATCTTCCTGTTCAGGTTGGGTTATTAGAGACTCCACCTTAATTTGAACATTCTCATGTGGTTCTTGACTTATAGGGTTACTGCTTAAGGTATCTGCACCATTATCAATAGATTTGCAAGGAAAAAGATTATCATTGAATATTGCATCCCTACTAATTATAATCCTCACTCCAGGTGCACTTCTCTCCCATAACCTATACCCCTTGGTTCCTTCTTGATAACCTAGAAACACACACCTTAATGATCTTAGGTCTAATTTTCCATCAATGGTATGAGCATATGCTGCACATCCAAAAGCCCTTAAGCGACCTAAGTTGGGTTTCCTGTTTGACCACTTTTCTTCAGGGTACATAAATTCTATGGCACTTGAGGGACTCCTATTGACTAAGTATGCATAAGTGTTTAAGGCTTCCCCCCAAAAGGTTTTAGGTAGTCCAGATGTAAACAACAAACATCTAAACCGTTTCTAATAGGGTTCTATTCATCCTCTCAGCAAATCCATTTTGCTAAGGAGTTTTCCTAACTGTTCTGTGTCTCAGAATACCCTGGTCACTATATTAGTTATCAAACTCTAAATTGCAGAATTCTAACCCATTATCAGTCCCAAGGGCTTTGATCTTTCGGTCAATTTGGTTCTCTACCAATAGTTTCCAGCTCTTAAACCTGCCCAAAGCCTCATCCTTAGTCCTAAGTAAGTAAACCCACACTTTCCTATTGTAGTCATCAACTATAGAAAGGAAATAACTATTGCCCCCATGTGATGTTACCCTTTCAGGCCCCCACAAATCAGCATGCAAGTAATCTAAACAATTTTCAACAAGGTGAGTTCCTTTTGGAAACTCAATCTATGTTGCATACCCATTACACATGTTTCACAGAAGTTAAGAGTTTCAATCGAATCCTTACCAAACAGCCCTTGTTTGCGTTAGGATGTCCATGCCCTTCTAACTCATGTGGCCTATCCTAAGGTGCCACTTCTTTATAACAGTCAGGTCAGTAGAAAACAAAGCAGTATTATAACATTCAGAATCATGGTTCCCACATAAAATGTACAGTCCATTTCTTTTCACTCCCTTAAGGACTATGTTGTTATTCCTATAGACACTTAGGCACCCATTCTCAACTTTATAACAACACACAGACTCATATAGTGTTCCTAGAGAGATGAAATTCCTCCTTAATTCTGGAATGTATCTAACCTTAGTCAATTTAATGTTTTTTCCATTTTCAAGCCTCAAGGTTATACTACCAATTCCCTAGACTTTGCAGGCATTATTGTTTCCTATAAACATAGTTTCTAGTTCATTAGCCTCAAAGTCTTGGAACCAATTTTTATTAGGACTCATGTGGAATGAGCAACCTGAATCTAGTACCCATTCATTCACATTATCTGATTTAGAGACAGTGAGGACCTCTGACTCTTTGATATTGGTTTTACTGGAAGCAAGGTTGCTTTCTGTATTTCCTTGCTTCTGTTTCTTAATCCAAGCAAAACAATTTTTCTTTAAGTGTCCTGTTTTGTTACAAAAGAAACATTTTCTAGTCTCCCCTTTTGCTTTGCAACTATTTTTACCCTTCTTTTTATTCCTAGGGCCATTTTCAAATAGTGTGTTACTACCTAACATGCTTGACTCCCATTTTCCCTTCACAAACAGATTGTTACCACTCCTTTTTTGCACTGTAAGTTCTAATTGCCTAGCCTTTAATCCTGAGATTATTAAATCTAGACTAGGGATAGTTCCAGTGTGTTGTAATGCATTTTTTACAACCTGATATTCCTTAGTTAGCAAATTTAACAGTATCAGGGCTAAACTGGAATCTCCAAGTTCTTGATCTATACCTTTAAACACTAGGGTCATTTTCAAGAACTCATCAAGATTCTCATCAATTGTCCTAGAACTATTCATCTTGTAAGCAAATAAAACACCTTTAAGATATGCAAGATTAGGTGTTGATTGCAAAGCATAAAGAGATTCAAGCTTACCCCAGAGTGTGATAGGCGTTTCAAAGCCATCTACCTTCCTTAAGACGCTGTCGGAGGGATTCATGATGATGAGGTTGTTGGCTTCCTCATCCACCTCAGCGTTCTTCTTTAATTTTTCCTCTGTCCACTTTGTTGCGTCCTTCTCCAGTGTAATTGCTACCTTATTGTGAGATAGCAATGCCTTCATTTTCTTCTTCCAGCTATTAAAATCGATGTTCCCATCATATTGGGTGGTCTCAACATGTGTGGTAGTCATTCTAAAGACTTAGTGTTTGATTTGGGATTTTATTGAGAGAAACCCTAGAAATTGAAAACAATTTCTGACCGTTTTCAAGAGATTGAGACATTGATTTTAGGAATTTCTACCCCTAGGTTGCAATTGAGACTCACAAACCAAAAAGCCCTAAAAATTAACAAACCCTAGATTTCAAGAAACCCTAGACCTTGTTCTGATACCACTGTTATGCTAAGAATCAGAACTCAATCTGCCAAAACAAACATCAAACACATTCCAAAGAATCTAAATCACACACCAAAGAAGCAGGAACACACAATCAAGAACACAAAGGATTTTACCGTGGTTCACTTATTCCAAAATTGGGAAAAAACTACATCCACGTTGAGCTCCAAAAACTTTTGGGGCTCACTGCACTAAGAGATTAGAAGTTTACAAATTACAAGAACAAATTGTTAGAGTAGATGCCCTAGAGCCAATCAATTACTGTAGAATTGACTCTTTGTAATAATGTTCATTAATCAATAATAAAAGGCATTTTATTCTATATCGCGTAAATCATTATTATTGCAATATGTATTGATATATGTCCTTAGAATGGTAGAACCGTGACGAGGGTATCAAGTGTTTCAAATCTTGATAGTGAGAACCCTATGAGCACATATGGTGGCCATTCTAGAAACGTCCGTAGCCCCAGTATTATTCTGAAGTAAGGGCACAGATAATACGGTAAGGCTATCATAGTGTTGAACGACCCTGTCGAAAGGCAGTGACTGATCTCACTTGTCAAGGTTGTTTGGTGACAACCTGGTGCAACACATGGGTGCTTGTTGTAGGCGGATATACCGCAGCAAGTTCACTGGACTGACCCACCAGAGGATTCCATATGGATGGTAACCCCAGTGTCTATGGAACAAATCCTCTAACGAATGGTGGTGCATGTGATCCTTAGACTTGAGATCACCGGAGCGCCTTGTGCACCGATTGGTACAGTTTGACACTAGCCTAACGCAGTTCTATTCAGAGCTGTCAGTACGGTGGTGATTGGCTATATCAAGGAGTGTATCAAGACTATGGTGGATTGACAGAGGATTCATCACTCCCGGGTACGGGAGAAGTTATCTCACGGCGCAATTCAGTATATGGCAATGACACTAAAACTGTGGCCACAGTGGGATTGAGTTGTTGCTCTATCCAGATTATAATACGGGTCATTGGTCCAGAAACTGAATATATAATATCGAGAGTAACCGAAGGTTGACACTATTTCTATGCCTTCGTCTCGTCGAGATAACGTATGATGAAAGGATCGTATTGTACGGTAACCATATCGTTGAAAGGTAGCTACTTTGCTGAATCCGAATCTATCGGGTGGCCATGATGCCTTGCTAGGGGCCAATCTTGGTCTGTGTATTAGTGAGACGATTAATTGGTGTTAATCGCGATACTATACACTACCGGTATGATGAGGAGCCTATGGGTCACACACATAGAAGATAATTTAAGAGCCAAGAAGAAAGAAGGGCGTTTTCGTCTTTTTAGGCGAAAGGGTATTTTGGTAATTTCACAGTGCAATTAAATTTGCTGAGGTCGTAGCCTATTATTTAATTTGTTAAAAAATTAAATAAGTGAAATTACGGTTAAATGTGTGTTCGCACATATTTAATTAAATCATCATTATTGTTAAATGTTAATTAAATATTAATTGATTTTAATTAAGATAATGATGAATTAAATTAAAATATCAAATTGGGAGTGTTTGGCAACATGGGGTGTTTGG